AATAGTGAGGTGCACAGTTCGCGCATTTTGGAGTATTAGTTTATATGTAGTAGAATCCAAGGCCAAGACATCTTTTAATACTATATCGTTATTAAACGGAAATTTTTGCTAGTGTTATAATAACTGAATAACATTAACAACTAACATCGAAAGGTCTAAAACAGAATAACCAACAGAATTGCATAAAATTGATTTTGAATTTTACTATTAATAGCATAAAATTGGCAAATACAGTTGTTATTCATCTGTCATGATAATCATTAAATATTTAATTTGAAGAAGACATTAATTAGATATTATTTAATAATCCTCATATCTAAGGGAGATCAGCGGGTTTACTTCCCACTGATGTCCGACCTGTTATTTTGGAAATATAAAAAAAACACTTCCTTATCTTTTAACATAGAGTCAGCACTTCATGCCATGCAAATGCTGAGAGAAGTTTTTTGAATGTATATTAATTTCGATGCCAAAATTTCTAAAATAAAAGCTCCGCAATCAATCACAATTAAATTTCATTTGTCGACTACTTTCTAGCAGCACAAGAGATAACAGGCGAAACTTAAATTTATTCTCTTTAAGCTGTGTAAAGTCATTGGTCCCAATATTTAAGTCCTCAATTGAGGAAAACCTACATAATCAGCAATATTGATAGCTTCCAGGATGAATGCAGTACCTTCTTCTTCGTGTAAATCGTGTTTTTTCATCTGCAATGAATCTGTAAAATCTTATTTAAAATTTTCACGTAAAGAAAGGAAACTATGTTCTTCTTGTCAACTTTTTGAGGTGTTAAGTCCATTTCAAAAACAGTTTAGTTAATAGAAACAGGGATAAAGTATAGAATTCAGGATGGACTTACAAAAGAGTAATCACCAATCACAGCTAATTCGACGAACTTTGTTTGTTTCGTGACATCACGTTTCGAAAACTTAAACATTATTGGAATTAGAACAAATCAAAATAACAAAAACAATAAAATATAAAACTATAGCTATTATTTCAACCTGAGATTTTAGAAAAACAAAAAAATCAGAAAATTTTCAAATGAACCTTTTGGAACTGTCTTGAACCTTCTCCAACCTGATTACCACATGAAGCAGACTGGAGCCACTTTGTACGATACAAGACATGTGGATGACGACGACCTCGATCACCACCGTCTAAAGGCCATATGCCGTAGGCTGAACCGTTGTCGAAAGCAATTACACCACTGAAAGATTTAACCATTGCAACACTCTTCTCGGAATCTCTGCAACTTTTTTTCGCCTTCCTCCTCTTCCACCTTTCTTCCTTCTATGTAGTAAAAGACTCGCTTCAAAACAAAAAGATTCATGAGATATTTTTAAAACATAAACTTGAGAGTGCGATAATTTATACTATGTGATGACAAGGACTTACCGCAACCCGTTACACGTTGACAGTGCCACAAATGATGCTTCTTCGCCGTTTACAGTACCCTGATAGTAGCAATTCTCAACTCGCCTACTGATCGGGATACTCCCACCATTATCAAGCTGAAAGAAAAAAATTTGCATATTTTCCCGATGTTGTTTAGGATGCTTCCTCAGTGACCCTTAAATCTATTTCAGGTTTTACAAAGGAAATTTAAAACAGAGAATAAAAATAAATATCGTTGCACCAGCAACCAATATTGTTTCTAGCAACAATCGTGTTTTTTTTAAGTCTCTTGTTATTCTTTGCTATTTTGACATTCTTTTTTTCCCCTGTGGCAGTAATCTACCGAAGTATATATACTTTCTCATTAAGATCTTAAGACTTGAGGTCTGAATCCAAAACATGCCTCTACTAGGTAAACTTTATTATATATGCTTGAATTGTAAATGCTTACTGCTATAATTCAAGGAAAAAGCTGTTTGCAGCAACAACTAACACCCAAAGAAAGATAAGTGTAATTTTGCATTTCAATCGGATCCAATATATTACACACTTCAGGACAATGGAAAAATCCGAGCGGAGAGGACATTCAACAAGAAAACCATCCACCATCGGAGATGAACCCTCACTTTACAATTATTTGAAAAAAAGGTAGTAGGATTTCATTTGAACTTACTTTCCGAAAATCGGTTCCATTAATGAATAATAACTCATTAAGACCCAATAGCAGTTTTAAACGACTCACAACAGTACTACGAATAACAATAGTAACTTGCTTGTAATGAACACTCCCATTTAAATAGTGATTCCTGTAATAGCATTTTGGACGCACTTCATACTACAAATACGAGGAGCAAAATTCAAAAGTGAATTAGAAAAAAGTGAAAACTCAGTACTTTACACGGAAAAGAAAAAAACTGACCTAGTGTCAATGCCGATACGGTCGTTCTTATCTCGAATCTGAAATGGATGGACTACCTCAAATTCACCTTCCGCAAGCCTACTAATGAAATCTTTGTTAGTAGCGAGATGCCGAAGTTGATCTGAAAATTTACGGCCACCAAATAGCAATTACAAAAAGAAAAAGGAAAGAAAACAAAACAAAGTAATATTGATTTTATTCCGAGATATCCGATAAAATACTTCTGAAAGCGGAAAAAAATACAAAATTTTACATTTTTTTTACCGTGAAATGTTCGCAATTTGAACTAAAATGGTGGAAAAAAGTGTTCAAATAGTTCAAATGAAAATAAGCATCGAGTTAATATTTTCGGCTCATTACTAACATATGCTCATTGATAGACCAATCATTAATGGAGATCAAATAACTGGTTAAAGAATTAAACAAAGTTCTGGGAAAAAGTCTAGATATATCCCAAAAAATATCATGTTGACGCAGCACTTTATTGAATGCCTCCGACCTCCGATACTGACAGGAAAACAAACCTTTCGAACCAGCGACTGCGAAATCAGTAGGAAGTACTATTATGAGAAGGAAGCAATAGCATGACATCAGGAACATCGTAATACAATTTGGTATGAATAATTAACTTCATAAACGATCGCCAAAGTCGGTAACTTATATAGATATACTGGTCTAGCATCGCTTTTCATACAACATAAAATATCACTCGCTTCTTCCCGTCCTTTGACTCACTTCAGAGCAACTGAAATACTTCACATTTGATTAATATCACGACTGTGTATGGAAAGGATAATTATTAGAAAACGACAGAACTCCCGACATATTCGCTTTTCAAACGTCTATAACTGAGTCAAATACCCATGACATCAGGGAAATTTAGTCAGAAATTCAGAAATCAAACATAGTTTATATTTCAGTAGTATTCAATGAGTGAATACTACGAGTGTAATAAGAGTCGAATGAAGTATCGGCAATAATCAAAAACAATGAGGAAATTAAGACAGAAGGATTGCATTCAACGCAGTCATAAATATTAAAACAAAACCTTTGTTCTCACTGGAAAATGCTTTTCGTGAAGCAAAAAAAATGTGCCTGCATATGCTATATTTCAAATACATTAGCAAATGAAATAAGCAATAAATCTGAAAAAACGATTTTGAATAATTCTATCAGAAATCGATGAATAATTCAGAAATGAAATTATACTGTTTTAACAATGCTGATTAGATGAAATTTATCACTATTTAAGACTAAAATTAATTCTTAAAGACATCCTTCAAAAACGATAATATGATTTCGTTATTCCCAAAATCCCTGAGTAATGTTTATGCAGTTCATGCACCAACAAAACTTACAACAATGCAAAAATGCAAGTACTGTCTCAAGAAGTTCACGTAAACGATCTTGAAAGGAACTTCATACAAGAAAAAAAAAGATACCAAATAGAGTGAAAGTCTTAGGAATCATGCTAGACAAAAAATAAAAGACGAAATTTCAGATTTAAAATTTTCATTAAATAAAAAGAAACGTATTGTTGAACTTTCAAATTCATCAACTAAACTGAAATTCAGTCAAACAGGTTAACTATGAAACTACCTGCAAAAACAATTGTTACGGTTAGAATAGTTTTTAAAAGTATGGATGAGACGGTAAGCAGATACATTACCAACCTCAATGAAGTTGAATTTGAATTTAAATAAATCGCAATGAAGGAGTGATGGGAGGAAAGCGTTCATTATGACTCATCGTTTTCATAATTCCAATAAGCTCTCCGAAGATTAAATGAATAGACACCGCCCCATCCAATAAATGAGGGAATATTGCATGCCCTAAAATCATTAATAAATGCAACCATTAAAATTCACATGGAAATTACACACGAATACTACTGTTTGTATAGCAAATGCTTCAGAGATGGTGGTGACTAAAACTAATTGCAATACAAATCATTCCTTCACATGACATTAGCTTACCCAATGGAACACATTGGGTCATTTATTAGAAGGTCAAGCCGGAACTCTTTACTGGTAAATATGTACATAATATCCAAATAAGCCATTGCTATATTTGATTAGAACGATAAAGCATCAAAGAGAAAATGAGAAACGATATTGTTGAAAAAATAACCCGAGAATATATGATCCTAGATACTGGCAAATATTAATAGGGTTCACCGATGAATTAAGCTAATATAAGCCAAGACTAATAATTGGTTCCACTAATAAAATGAATCTGCAGATAGCCCCAGTAATTATCAGAGAGGCCAATTCGACACTATAGTTCATTTCATTTACTTAAAAAAGTGTAATTGTAAACAAAAGTAGGAAATTGGAGAATGTAGTCTTCCCTCTTCCGTATTCTGCCATTTAAGTTTCATTCAGCTTTATTTCCGCTTTTTTCCAATATTAATTGATGATTATTTAATAAATTCTCCGCTATGAGAATTACTGTCAAAAAGTTACGCAAAAACATCCCATGAGATGATTAAGAACAAATAAACAATAACCCTTTGGTAAGGATGAACCGAAATGACTTTTTTAGAGACAGAAAGATTAAGGAAAACTGATGAAACTAATGGAGTTTAATGAATTATGGTTAGATTAGAAATAAGAGACAATGGAGACAACTGACCTATCCTATTGATAACAACTGACCTATCCTATTGAAAATCAATTATAAATTAACAAAAACTCATCATCAAACAGAACAAATTAAGCAGACAATGATCCAAAGAATTAAATGGTGTAAAATGAAAGAGGACGAAGGGTTAGAAAGAGGGAGACTTATCATTACTGAGTGAAGGTCGACGAGCCGGGTCGAGTGGGGTCATCTGGCAAGCTAATGGACTAAGGGTGACAAGTCTCTCTATAGTCGTATCTTCTGCTCCCATTCCGTCCATTACTTTGCAATATCACTCAGCCTCCCTCAATTATTCACCACCACCACTCTGTGCGGACAGATGGGATACATCTTTCTTCTATGTGTGTGAGTGAACATAGGGTAGATAGGTAGTTCATACACACTCCCTGTGGACGGAGAATGTAATGGACTATAGCCATCAATGGAACATTCTTCACGTTGACATACTTCATTTGACACTTCCCGAAATTTAAATTCACCAATTATGCATACACAATCAAGTTGTGTTACTTTTACTGCTTACATGGGAAGCATTACTCATTCCGCTTTCTTATTCATTCTTCAATCAGGATGATCATTGTTGACCAGTGATCATTTAACGTAAGCACAATGCACTATTTGAAGAATTGCACAGAAAATTTCATTCTTTTTCGAAAATTCGATATCCAATTTGTAGTTTTAGCAATTCAATTCTAATCATAGCTTATATCAGTGACTAACAGATAATATCTGAAACGAATTAAAAAAACAAGCAATATTATACCATAATTAACCGTAAAGAACAGATACACGAAACGTGATGCTGTTCTCTAATGTGAATGACGTGAGTGCTGTTGCAATAAGATAAAGTGTTGAACCTTCTGCAGATAAGATTAAAAGCGATCCAGAATTTAGAATTGTATATTCATCATCTAAAAAAGGTCAGGATTATACTCTATTCAGATAGACTCGATAGTTTCGATCTATAAACGGATCATTTGTTTTTTTACAAATTCAAAAGATCTGTTATGTTTTACATACTAAACGACTCTGTTCATTATTCAGATGGAAGACATGCATACTGATTATTGCTTATTTAACTTAATCTTCATCTCTAAAATACATACTTTTGAATGAAAAGGACAGATAATGACAAACAGTTTATTCTACCTTCTTGAATATTAGATGATGAATGATAGTAATCGGTACTAATTTCGGCAGGTAAACAAACTTAGGATTATATCAATAGTACGTTATGATTCATTATGTAAGCCTGGAATAGTGTCTATGCGCAAACTAATCAGGAAAGAAGCAAAAAAGAACGGAAACAATTGAAGTAACCCTCGCACATCCTTCGCCACTTCAAAAACGTTTTATGAACAGGTGTGAAACAGAATTGCATTCCGAGAACTTTGAAGTGACACTGACCGCAATTAATAAATTGGTTTGGAATGTAGCGGGAGCTTATTTTCAGTATTGGGGTTGGGAGTATGTTGTATTACTTTGCAACTAAGTGGAGTAATGTTCCTCCTGAGATTCCTTCCTCCCGTCCCCTGTCAAGATGCATCCTCGAGGTGAAAATTCGAAGATTAGGCAACGACAGGTTTCGTTTGTAGGAAATGTCAGTGATATTCAAAGCGTCGTCTTTTTATTGTTTGTAGGAGAGATGCACTTCTAATTGTATAAGGCAGTTTGAAGTCTAGTTTGCTTTGGTTTCTATGTATGCATTAATCCAATTGCTTTGGTATTTTCACCTAATTTATGTTATATCTTTGATTTACTAAGCCTCCCAAAAATATTTCTAGATTGGAAGAAATGTTGGCTCTCACTCATCTTGTAAGTAAGGCCGTTGCGACGAAACCATATTTAGTACGTCAAATTACCACCACTGTCGTTCGGAATGGCAAATTTTTCGCCGACGCTGAAGATAAACGTAAAAATTTGCTCATTTCCATATCTATATGCAAATTATGTATCCATATAAAACTTTTACCTTTTGTTTTTGTTATGGAATACATCAGTGACTTATCGAAACTTGCGTTTTCAATGAAATTAACGTATGTGATAAAATTTTCCATGCCTTAATTTTTTTCTGTAAGGCTCAAAAATATGTAACATAGTTAAACATTCAACCGAGACATTAAAGCATAAGTTTCAAACTTAATATTTTTTTTTTTGGAATTCGAATTGCAGGTCTCGATCAGCACTATATGGATGTCTTCAACGATCCAAACATCGACGGTTTCTTTTTACGAGGAGGTAAGCTGCTGATCGGGACACTTTTACGAAGCAGTTCAAATGATTAATGCTGCTGTGGTTACTTTTTTTGCTGTTTTGCAGCTATGCAAGATTTACACGAACTGGATATGATTCCTGATCCTGATATCTGTGATGCCGTGTTACGTGCATGTCGGCGTGTGAATGATTTTGCACTTGCCATTCGTTTTATCGAATCTCTGAAAGAAAAATGTGTCCTCAGACGGTGGACTCACAAATGGTTATTGGATAAGGTACACATGATCTGCACTTTTTTGTTTTTAGGCAATAGACTAATTGCTCAGAAACACCAGAAAATATGAGGAACCTTCTCGCTTCCTCGCTTAAACCATCTTTTTTAAGTATAATAAACAAGGATACTGCTACCATCTCTATGTGATCTCGCTTGGTTCATAATTCTAGAGCACTCTAATCTTTGCTTGGAAGATAAGCTTCTTTCTTGCAAACAACCTTTTACATTTCTAGTGCATTTATAATCCTGCCTAGTAAAAGGAATACACAACAGGCTTTTCCTCTTGTATCATTTCAATCCTGCATGTGGTTTCTGTATACTTGATCCTTTGGTCCATTCTTCCGATATTATTCAAATGAACTTTTTGGCTGGTTACCCGGCTGTTGTTTTTCAGATCAAACCTACCATGGACGAATTAGGTATTCCAACGTTGGAGGAAATGAATTATGACAAGCCTGAATTGTTCGTGCCTATGTCTGATTGGTGGTGGGAACGGAAATGGTATGTTTCTTACTTACTACGAATAAATTTTGTGCATGATGAACCTGATTTTTTTTGTTATGTTTTATTTATATTAATATTTACATTGTTTTCATCCAGATAATTGCGACATAGACTTAAGATTAAGTGCTGGAAGGAGATTGATCAATTCCAGATTTTCAAATACACGAGAAGTTGCGATGCAAATGACATTATTAGTGGATATTAGTGTTATGAATGACACTAGTAGTATTAATAATTATGATGTTTGGCTAAATATTATAAGAATTTTGAGCGACACAGTCTTATGAATGGAACTAATCATTTTCTATAAAACTGACTAGCTAGTGATGATAGATTGTGGCATAATGGTCATATAAGTAATTCTGGACGGTTTATTTGGCCACTCTGATTAGTAGTGTACCATGTGCTCAGTAACGAAAGATGATTCTTTATATTGTGTGGTAAGCAGGAGGAATATATCCCTTTTTTTTGCCACATATATATGGCTTAGGATATGTAACTCTTCTGACTATAATCATGTCGGAACGAAGTGTAATATGATGAGAAGGGCAATGTTCTACTTTTTATGCAACTTATTAACCTTATTTTATAGGTACAAAGAATATGGATTTGATAAACATGGGTACGAGTATTGAAGGTCTGTATTGCTTATAGCCGACTTTTGGACATTTCTAGTTTTTCATAAATTTGAACATTTGGTGCGATGACTAATTTTCTGAGTCTTTTGACCAAATATTTATGAATTCTTACATCTCAAGAAACGTCTTACTGTTTGTATTATGCAGTTTATCTTAATTAGGACGATAGATTTCGAACTTCTTTCATACGGATTTCTTTTTCTCATGATTGTATTTGTCTGTAATTGATTGTAATAACTGTGAAATTGCCGATCATGCAATTGAGCATAAATAGTGTATTTATTTTCTTGTTCCTAAGCATGCAATTTGCCTATATTGGCGAAACTGATAAGTTTTGGAATAACTTCTTTCCGAAATCTCGTCCTTACGTTATTTTAAGAAATACATTTTTACTCAAGTTTGAAAGAGTAAATAATAAGCAATATAAAGATTAAGAGCTGTGCTTATACAATTTTGAAGGTGCAAGCATAAAATTTGGTATTTCGTTCCCTGATTGGTTGCAGAATCAGTCGACCTATCAATTGGTCATATAACCTTCCAGAGCAAGTCGACCCGCATATTATAATTCAAACACAATTGATGCATAACCAGTTAGCAAAATGGATGAAAAGGATTGAACAATCGTTCCCAACGACCTTACATGAGCGGGCGGGCCGTTGGTTGTGACTCATTCAGTCCGTTCCTGGGCATTTCCAGAATGCGAAATGTGTATTTTGAAGGACGAGGTGCCTATAGTGCCGATTTAACGACTCATTCATAGAAGAAATAACAAATGTTCCGTGGATGGTCACCAATTGTAATGGTCATTGATTGGGAAGAAATGCCGATCAGGGACTTCTCAGTTTTTTTTCCTGATTTCAATTAAAAATACTGTTAAGAAATAGGATAATTTTCAGCTTTACGTCCTTATTGTTTCGGCGGCAATAGCAATGATGAGACGGAGAAGTGGCAACATATGTTGATAAGAATGGGATAGGCGCCATATGATCATTATGAAAATGCTATTTTGATGATATTTTAACTCTTCTTTTCTTTATTTCATAGCTTTTGTAAGTCTTCTCTTCCGTTTAAATTTCGATGTTTTTAGAATATTTTTCAGTACCCCATAAAGTTTCAAAATTTTTCCATTCTATAATTTCAATTTTAACTTTTTCATTTTCTTTTTATTCAAATCTGCTGAAGGAGAGAGGGATAAAAGGAGAATGCGAGTGTGGGAAAAAAAGAAAAAAGAAAAGAGAGGAAACTGAAGATTACAGTGAATATTTGTGCTGTTAGATATTTTCGAAATTCATTTGAATTCGTTTGCTAATAGTTTTAGCCTGGATATAAATTCATATGAATTAGAAAAGTGGAAGGTCAAAGATCAAGTGGCCGTTTAAAAAGTTTTAAAATTGAATGTGAAATCTTCACTGCAAACTACCATTTCCAAACTTTTCAATTATTGGTATTTTTAGTCTTGCAAAGTTTATACGAATTAAGTTACAGTGAGCAAAATATAGGATAATTTAAGTATAAAATATTGGACACTACTTGAATTTCAAGACATCTCAGTCTCTAAACGAAGTAATTCCGGAAATTCTGTATTCAGAGAATTGAAATAGGAGATTTTTCAGGTTCCGAATGCGTTTTTCTTTTTCTTTTTTTTCGAAACACATAACCAATCTATATTATTTACTGTAACGATTTACTGTAGCGTGTTGCGTAACAATTTACTGTTGCGTGTTATTGGCGTTTATCAGGATAGAATGATGGATTTGTATGAGTGATAAAAACATGACGGGTTTTGTGAAACTTTTACATCTTGTTACTTTCATCTTATGATCCATTTGTTACACTACTACTACCATCGATTTATCGTCATAGCATTACTGGGTGAGATTTTTAAAACATGACAAACTTTCCTGACTATAGCAAGTGATTGTCATGCATTTTAAGTATTCTTTATTATCAGTGATCCGTTAATGAATCATAAATGGACGAAGTAATTTGTTGAATGAAACAATTAATTAGCAAAGAAAGAATTGCAATGCAATTTGAAATCAAACATAAACATTAAAAGCCAATCTGTAACATTTTAACCTCAATTAAATCAATTAAATGCAACAACGATATTAGTAAAATCACCCCAAACATTTTCACTTTTTGTCAATTTTCGTTTAAATTTTAAAGAAAAGTGTACAATCATCCTTTATGAATCATTCCCTCCTTAACCATATAGCTGTTTTATGATTTTATTGTTTAAAAGCTTTCTTTTCAGTTGATGAATATTCATCTATTACATTTCATCTTCAATTTCGAAATGTTCCGCTGGAATGTGGAATACTTCGAAATTAATCTCTTTTACGCCATGGGACATGGGATATGCGATATGTAATTGATCGTCTTTTGAGCACTCAAAATTAATTCCACTTAGTATTTTTTTTTTGTCTTAATTATCTATTAGCCATTTAATACAAATTAATCACCGAACTACAATAAAATATAGCAATTATTCATAATCCATAAAATTTATTAATCGAATTTGTTAATTAATTCACATTCATAAAATTGCTAATTTTATTAACTTTCCATTTAATGACAGGAATTCGGAAATCCTTTAATATTTTCAGAATTTATTTGAAATATTTTTTTAAAGAATGTTGAAGGTGGAAAAATTTCTAAACACAAATGACTGGTAGTAAGGTGGTAGCATGAGGTGGTAGTAAGGTAAGGTTAGGTAACTGCTACCACCTTACTTGGTAGTAAGATGGTAGCATGAGGTGGTAGTAAGGTAAGGTTAGGTAACTGCTACCACCTTACTTGGTAGTAAGATGGTAGCATTTTATACTATTTGTCATTTATTCTGCAACTTTTCTTTTTCTTTTTTTTGATGAACTGAAGAAATTTAGAATGATCAACATGACACTTACTGTAAATTTTGATACTTTTCCGTCTCTTAAGTTATAATGTTTCAAATTTGAAATTTATTCTATCATTGCTGTCAGACAATTTCTGCGTAACACATGCTGCGACAATACCGCGGAGACATAGTTACTGGATTTAGCCTTATTGATTAGGCCTGTCAAACCTATCGATTTGACTCATTTGTCTGATCATTTGTCTGTTTGACTGATTTTATTTCATTGTCTATAAATAAGTGCTAAATTTCCCTCAGTTTGTTTGAGAAGATATCAATTCAAAATTAATTCTTCGAGTTGTGCTAAAAACTACCAGAAAATCCCGGGGAACAAGAAGTTAGTTCAGCCACCATCTTCTTCCCAAGTATAGCATTATCTTAAGAAGTGAACATTCAAACTTTCATTGTACACCAGTGCAACTGCTATCGCTACTACCGGTATTACCATACTGGTACTGCTATTAATTAGACTACTACCAATGCTACTGCTAGCTAGGCTATTAGATATCATTTCTGCTGGGGTCAAATCCTTTTTCATGAATAGAGAGTACCACCAAGGAAATTATCCTAAGTCATCCTTTTTACTCTATCAATTAGTTACTCTCAATAAAAGTAAGATAGAAGAATTCGGGTTGTCTCATGCTGGGATCATTTTAAAATTTAATCCAATCATTTAGCAGTGCCAGTCCTATCGAGAATTCTCGAATGAGCTATTCACTACAATAATGAATTGTTCATCATTCTAGCTATAATTTCAATCAGCATCAATTCAACATAAATTAGCCTAAATAGCTTACTTATATAACTTGTATTGCAAGTTTAAAGTACCCAAAAACGAATTTAAATTAAATATAAGTGAATGAAGTTTCTAATTGGAAATGGATATTAATTCATACAATTTACAACTATCTTATCTTATTGGTAGGATATAAACCAGTTGGATTACTGCAAATCTTTCGAATCGAATTGCATGGGATCGGATCGGATCGAATCGGATTGGATCGAATGGTACATGATAATGCATCATTAGAAAATTCATGTGAAAAAAAAACCCCCTTTTCCCAAATTTTGTCTCTTCTTTTGTTGACCTAAGTCCTTTCTAGTAGCATTAGTGGTAGTTTTTGTGGATATATTTTGGGCATTAATATTCATATACTAAGAGTCAGTTCTATAATGACCATTTTCGTTGTCCATCTTAGCAGTAGATCGGAGACCTAGTTATTCAAATTTCTCTCAAAATTATGGTCATTCATGTTACGATTATTCAAAGAATGATCTGTGAAGAGAGAAAGAATTATTCTTGTTGGTCATTTTTATGATCCATCAAAACTTCTGAGTGGAAATTGTTGTACTCAAATGTTATTCAATTACTTTTCTTGCCGTAATTTCTTCATTTTCATTTATTCATTTTATGCATAATTTGCTATAATTTTATTAGTAAACAAATTAATTCCAAGGAGGAAATACGAGGTATCAGAGGATTTGATTGAGGTAATAAAGGCTAGTGGTCAGTTGCTAGCTTCCAAATGCGTTGAAAAAAACCTGATAAAAGCATTGAACACTTGAAAACATTTGATCCAATCTTTTGTTTAGAATATTTTTCAAGCAGGATTTTCTAATTAATAATAAATTCGCACTTGTCACTTTACATTTACTCAACTTTCCAATCATTCCTATCTTTCGTTGGAAAAAAAAGGCGCTTTTGTCATCACCTTTTTGTAGTTTAGTCTTGCTTAATGCACAAACTTATTTAGCAATTCAAAGGTATGAGAAAAGTAAGATAAGATGAAATCTCACCTTTTCTCCATTGCATTTTTACATACAATAATGCGCTATATGAAGATAAAACGGGAAAGGTCAAAAAAATTGCGCACATTTCTCCTGATAGACCTTCTTCTAGTTGCTAGATATGGTCATTCATTGATTTGCAGGATAGATTTACGAAAATATTAGCCACTTGACCATTTTCATCTATCCATTACAAATTCCTTCACTATTAATTCGATTACGGTCATAAAATAATTTAACAATCAATTTAAAAATCAAACAATTTTGATTTAGGCTATTCTGGATTGCTCATTGACTGAGACAAGCAAAAAATAAAAAAGTTAATTTAGTATAATTCATTTAACTAAATTAATTAAATGTTGTAATTGATTGAAAAGCGCTGTTGTACAATATTGTGAAGCGTTATTGTATGATTCTCTACTAACGATTGTATGCATTGTATTTAAGGATGTTATTTAAAAATAATCACGATTTTATCTCTTCTAAAATCTATTTTGCTTTACATTTTCCATTGTAAAATATAAGCTTCTGCTGTGATAACAGGGTTCACGTACGCTTTCTTATCACTCATATGTTAATTTATGTCGTTATTATTGAATTTATTCCATTGAGCCATTCAAAAGACGAACAATGATAACGAAATAATCGTTGTTAGTCATAAAAATAGTTCCATTTCTTTTCTTAATAATCAAAATAAAAATGAAAGCAAACTTTTCCTTGTTTACATTGTCGCATTCATCACTTCCTCAAATGTCTGTTGACAATTTCACAAAGAAAAGGCGACTTTTACAACACAGCGCTATCCGGCTAAAATCATTCTTTGTTTTGTAAAAATCAATTCGATTCTTAGCATTTTACTATGTCTAGCAATTTTACGTGGTTTATACATGGGAGATACACGTTTACGTGATAGGTTACACGTTAAGCCTGAAGAATTCAGCAACATATTAATTGTCATATAATTAAGCAAATGAGATTGGCGCAGTTTGACGTAAGGATGTAAGAAGTTGTTACCAAATTAGTTGAATATAAAATTTTCATGTCATCGTACAAATTCTGTTATATTGAATTAAACTTTTCCCTTATTTATATTATACAGTCAATTAAGAATTCTGATTTAACGCACGAAATTAAATGACCAAATATTTTTCTGACCATAAGATCATAAGGTCATTGGCTCGATTAAAGAAGCAAAATTCTGGCTGCACATGATTCGTACGCTTATTGACGTTGCGTAATGTTCTTATAAATTAAAAAAAAAAAAAGAACGAAATATTTATTTTCTCTTCATTTCAAGATTAATTAACTCTTTTTTTTTGCTTGTAAAACATGATCAGATGATTGACCATCACACTGTACTATCATCTCATTGCTATCACTTTTTTCTACTTAAATTTAAATTGAATTTATCACAAACTGTCTTAGAAATTCTAATTTTAAGCTTAATTCAATACAAATAACTTTATCATTTAAATAACTTACAAGCTATATCATTTGGATGTAATATTGAAGGAATTTCATTTCATTTCATGAATTATATGTTTAAAAGTAAAAATTGAGCGAAGAAAAAATTGATTTATTCTTGCATTGATTTCACATGATCAAACATACTGATAAGCCATTTCAAAACTAATTGTCATTTGTCATCATTGTTAATTCCATTAAACGCTGGATCATCCTTTGGTCACTTCCATCATTTTGTTTATTTATGGGCAAACTATTTGCGAAATTAAATTTTCTTGTTTCATTCTCCTTTCATTCCTTTTCAACATTTCAGTCGTTAAATTCTATATATTTGTATTGTATTTTGATATATGAAAATGGACAATTGCGCCTTGGTGAAATTATTTTTTAAATTTATTGTAGAAAGGCTATGGACAATTTTAAGACGAATGCTAACACTGTGGATGATTTGGTCCTTCTTTCTGCTGTCACACATGATGATATTATCAATACTTTGCGTGATAGGTTGTCTCAAATTTGAATATTTAGATACAATATGATAATCTTAAATATTATTTTAATTGAATAAGGTTAAATGATATATTCAATGATTTCCATATTCAAGTGCTTTTTTTTTGATTAATTTTCAAACAACTTGATATATTGTAGCTAGAATGAAAGCTTAATTTACCTCTTCCATTTCAGATACGGTAAAGGTCAAATTTACACTTATATCGGTGAAGTATTGTTAGCTGTAAATCCTTATCGAAACTTACCTATCTATGGATCTGATATGGTACGTAAGTATAAGGGACATGAAATCTATGAACGTTCACCGCATGTATTTGCAATTGCTGATGTGACATACCGATCGATGAAATGGCATGAACATGATGTTTGTATCGTCATTTCTGGTGTGTGAATTTCAATCGTAGAAAGATTTAAATTTTATTTAAACTTATTTAATGATGAAAGCAAAATTCTAGAACTTTCCCGAACCGTATTTGAACTTTGTTATCAATCAATGTTTCTTTCGGAGAAAAGAGAAGAATTTAAAAATGCAAATAATATTAATCCTGAATGCACCGATATTTCCGCCTTCCGCTTCCCGCTTTCCGCTTTCATTTTTATTACTAAAAATAATCATTTTTCATTCAGGTGAATCCGGTGCTGGTAAAACAGAAACAAGCAAAATAATTATGCGTTATCTTGCCGCAATTACAAATGCGGAAAAGCAGCATGAAATTGAAAGGTTAAATTGAAAGCTTCCTTCCTTCCATCGTGCATTCTTCAGTCAGTTTTCTTCCTGCTTATATTTACGCTTATAAGCTAACGGATCTGTTTTACAGAGTGAAAAATATCCTCATCCGGTCAACAGCTCTTTTGGAATCGTTGGGATGTGCGATGACCAATAAAAATGATAATTCAAGCCGTTTCGGCAAATACATGCATATAAACTTCAATTTTCAAGGCGATCCATTTGGTGGTCATATCAGTAGCTATTTGCTGGAAAAGGTCATTGCTATATTTCATTGGATCTAATATGCATAATTATCCTTTGCTCATTTATGTATGACCATTCTGAAATATGACCATTCTGAAATGATCACTTTTCATATCTTTGGTCTACAGTAGCATTTAACAGCAATGGATAAAATATTTGGGCAATGTACCCTTTGTACAAGAAAGAAATCAATTAAAATTGAATTGAATAATTTCATCCCAAAATGATTTCTCATTTTATAATTTATTATTTCAGCATTAATTAAATTATTTGTAGTCACGTGTCATACGTCAGCAACACGGTGAACGTAATTTCCATATTTTTTATCAACTTCTGGCTGGAATGGACATTGACCGTTTGCATATGTTGCATTTACAACGTGATCCTCAGAAGTACTTTTATCTAAATCAAGGCCAAACGATTATCGTAAGTTTATCCCAACTATAAAGTTTAGGTAATGAAAGTTACAACCAATGTTGCATATTTGAAAAATTTATCAAAAAAAGTTTTAAAAATAAACCAATTACTGGAAATTTATTTAAGATTTCATTCATTTTCTAAATTAAATTATTTTACAAGAAAATTAAAACGTTAAATATCTTTTTATATATATTTTTTTCTTAGGCAAATACAATAGACGATAAAAGTTCGTTTAATGAAGCTTTACAAGCAATGCAAGCAATTGAAACATTTGTTCCAAATTCTGAACAACAGGTGAGTTTAACTTTTCCATTTTCCTCTTTCATTAAGATAACTTAGATGTCACAGTGAAGAAGCAAAGTACAGTTTTTTTTTTCTCTCTCTCTTTTATAGAAATGATGGAAATATTGTAGGTATGGAATATCTTGGCAAGTATTTTGTTATTGGGTAATCTTAAATTTACCGAAAATGAAACAAATACCGATGAAAGTTTCGTCAAAGATCGTGATGAACTTCGAATTTGCGCCAATGTATTGCAAGTAAAAACTGAAGAGTTAGAGAGAGCATTATGCATGCAGGTAGGTCATTACCGCCAATATTGTTAGCTTATTACCGTTACCGTAAACACTCCTTTTTTTTCCTTTTGAATTACGTATTACAACTTCACGGATATTGTTGTGGATATGATTAAATTTGTAACAAAGCTGGGTACGTCAGCAATCTAATGCTTCCACGTGTGTGTACATCTGTGATTAACACACGTCAATTACGTCATGTGATTCACGTTTCTCCGTATTTGTTATTACTTAACCATTATTCAACCGTAAAATTTGATGAGATAAACATTCGGTAAAAGATTACATCTTACATTGCTTCTACGTTTGATAGGTTAAAATTTTTATTTTTGACAGTAATTCGAGGAATTAATTCAATCAATAAATAAATGAATATCTCATGATCAGCTAATTATTATTTAGGTGATTGCAGCCAAAGACGATGTTGTCTCAAAGCGTCATGATGTCAACGCAGCTGAATATACAAGGGATGCGCTTGCTAAGGTCATCATTCGTTTATAAATATCAAAATTTTGGAATGTCATTTTTGTCATGAAAATTAAAATTTAAGAAATTATAATTTAATATCACCAATAGCTTATCAAAAGATGAGTTGGCCTATGGCAAAGTGATACTCAAACCTTATCAGTCATTTTCAATGTTTTTCGATTTCAAAACCTCTACAACTTTAGATTTTTCGAGTTCTTTTTCTTTTATTCGCTATCATTTATCTTTTATTGAATCATGTATTGCAAATGGATATTTATCACTCCTTATCAGAATCATCATCCGAACATTTTTTCGTTCTTTTTTTTAAAATTCTTTAGCTAAAATCAAACTTCATTGATTTATTTCTTAAGGCAATTTATGAGAGATTATTTACATGGATTATTGGAAAAATTAATCAAGCAATTAATGTTAAAAATGTTGGTAAAAATGCCGTTATTGGTGTGCTTGATATTTATGGATTTGAAATATTTGCCATAAACAGGTAAATATATTCATTGAATTTCTTTTTTTTCTCGAAAAAACGTTTTACTTTTATTTTAGTTTTTATTTTCTTTTTTTTTTACTTTCAATTTTTTCTATTTTTTTACGCTTTACTTTAATTTTTTCTTTGCAAATGAAGCGAAAATTTTGAAATTAATTTTTAAATTTACAGTTTTGAACAATTTTGTATCAATTATTGCAATGAGAAATTGCAACAACTTTTCATCGAATTGGTGCTAAATCAAGAGCAAGAAGAGTATAAACGAGAAGGAATTGAATGGCAACAAGTAATTCTTGAAGTGTAAAATAAAATTTAAATAAATTTCCGGATTATGATCAATCTGATCCAGTCATGGGATAATTTTATTCATATTTCAAGCGAAAAAATATTATGAAAAATTTTTGAGTTAATACTGTTTAATCTTTCGGGTAGTTTTTTTTTCTGTCGGAATAATGAAAACATTACTATGATTGATTAAAATTTGTATACCTTACTTCACCATCATTTCAGGTTGACAATTTATACTTCTCATTTTACTATCATTTCAGGTTGATCTAAAAATGAAATATTTTCTTGCTAAATGCAAAGAATTTCAAAGTATATTAATTTAGATTCAATTTTTTAACAATAAAGAAATTTGTGATTTGGTTGAAATACCTCGTACAGGAATTTTGGCAATGTTGGATGAGGCATGTTATACAGTTGGTCCAATGAATGATAAGGTTCCTTAATCAAAGCTATTTACCTCGTCCATCTCATTTCATATTTTACTAGGCTTCGATATGTTTGTCCTAAAGCAATCTAGGCTTTTTCTTATTCTCATGTCGAAAAATAAAGCCTAGAAAAAAAATAAGGCTAGCAATATAAAGTACTATAGCAATGTACTTTGTGCATATTAGATGTATGATATTCATTAAAAGAAAGCATTTACTAAACTTTCTTATTTTCAGATTTTTTTAGCTGAAATGGACAAAGTGTTGAATAAGAATAAGTACTATATAAGCCGTCGATTAAATCCAACTGATAAAACATTAGCATTCGAAAGAGATTTTCGAATTACTCATTATGCTGGTGATGTAACATATGATGTTAATGGTTTTATTGATAAAAATCGTGATACACTTTATCAGGATCTTAAAAGACTCTTATATAACAGGTAAAATTCCTACTAAACTTATTACTGTTATGAAAAATGTATAGGTAAAATTTTATTAGAATTAAATTTAATCGTAAATTATTCTTTGTATTGAACATGAAAATCGTAAAATAGGGAATATTAGAGATACAAGAATTGAAAGATGAAAAGTATTTGGATAAATATACTGAAAAGAATTCTGATTCATACAATCTTTTAATTACAGCAATAATCCAGTGTTACGGGAAATATTTCCAGATGGAGCCAAATCTGTAACAGAAGTTAATAAGAAGCCATTAACTGCTGGTACAGTATTCAAGGTTATTTCTCTATAATTCGACTTTTTTTTTTGATCTTTTTTTGAAAAAGTTAAAAAAAAAATCTCTTAACCAAATCTCTTAACTACTTTAGAATTCGATGTATGATTTGGTGCAACAACTTTCTGCTAAAGAACCTCATTATATTCGTTGTATTAAACCAAATGAAATCAAATCAAGTACATCGTTTGATACAGTAGGTGTTGGACATCAGGTAAATTGAAACAATTTTTTTTTTTTAATTCTTTATGAAATTGATGATACGAAACTTATATATATAATCAACAATTACTCATATAAAATTCATTTTATAGGATAATGATATAATTTTAGGTTCGTTATTTGGGACTATTGGAAAATGTACGTGTACGACGAGCAGGTTTTGCATATAGAATTACTTATGAAAGATTCTTACAAAGGTTCAGATTTATTATTTCATATTTTATTATAATTGAGAAGTGTATCAGCTTTTGAATCCTTTAATATTCGTTTCAGATGTTATATTTTAATTTATTGTAGAATATCCTCAAATGTATTAGCAAGTTTTTTCTTTTTCTCTCTCTCTTTTTTAATTCAATTTATAATGAATCAGAAAATAGAAAAAAAAGACTATGAAATAAGAGAATGAAAGAAACAGAAACTTTCCAAGAGAATGATATAATAAATGACAGTAGTCTTGATAGTTGATAGTTGATAATCCAACTTTTTTTCAATATTTATCTAATCTTTTAATGATAGGTATAAAATGCTCTCAAAGAATACCTGGCCAAATCCATCTAAAGGTTCAGCAAGAGAAAATACAAATGTATTATTGGGAAAGTTTGATTTACGCAAAGATTGTGTCAATGGTGCAACAAAATTATTCATTCGAAGTCCACGAACGGTATTCAAATTGGAAGATTTACGTCAACAAAAAATGACGGATATTGTCATCATATTACAAAAAGTATAAAATTTTGAAAATATTTTAACTAATTTTCGATTATTTCATTACTCCTCAATGCGACATTAACGCATTATTATATGACAAAGACAAGTTTAGCCAAGTTTTCTTCTCTTAGATTAATTCCTTTCACAGATATCATTCACCTTTTGGCATTGATATCAATTGAATGACGATATTTTGGAATAAATTTGAATAAATTATAGCATTGGAGAGGAGCAATTGGAAGGTATCGTTTTAAGCGTATGAAGCAAATATATACTATCATGTATTGCTATCGAAAATATAAGCTAGGAAGATATTTGATGACATTGATGGAACACTTTTGGTATATTTTTCCTCTCTTAAAATTTCCATTAATTGTGAACTTTTTAAGGAATGAAGAGATATGGTACTTGAAATGATGCCGAAGTTAATTATTGAAGCTTAATTAGTCAGATTAATGATTGAATTTATTCAATATAATGTACCACCGAGAAAAATATGTTATTTGAAGATGGTATATAATTTTAAACTAAAACAAAAGATAATCAGAATTAGATCAATCAATGCTGATTAATTAATTAATTCGTTTTTTTCTATTGACATCAAATTTTGTTAGATTGAAATGACAATTGATATTTTAGGGAAAAAAATTTTTTACATTAATTTAGTGATATGGAAAAAAGGTGCGATTTGGGAAGTAGCATACAATGGCCAATTGCGCCGAGCGGTTTCGAAAGTTTGGACAATAAATTAAAGCAAATGTATGCCATTTGGCGTGCAAATCAAATTGTTGATCGTATGCCATTAGTGCTGAAAAAATCATTGAATGAAAAAATGGCCGCTTTTCATGCTCTGGAAAATAAACGTCCAGAATGGGGTTTCTTACGATCATGGAAAGGAGATTATCTAAATATGGTTAATTAATTAATAAATGAATTGAACAAAAAATTTATCATTGCTTATCAGAATATATCTACACTCATTCCATAATTTTGATTAAATATTTGCATTTAAATAAATAAAAGATGAACTTTTTTTGTTCAACTTTTTTTTCCTCCTTTTATTTCAAGGATGATGAAATCAAACCACCTAGTCAAAGACATGATTATCTTTTGGAATTAGACAATATACGACGAAATAATAATTTCTCAAAAGTACTCTTCTCATCTTACATTCAGGTCTTTTACTTGTTTGTTTCTTTTTTTTCGTTTAATTTTAAAGGGGTTTAATTTTAAAATTATTTTATTTGCTTTGATAAAAGTATAGATGAATTTATTAACAAAAAGTTTTGCTATGCTGTTATTATCATTGATAATATTATTACTTGATAACTTTGCAATAAGCTGTAAAATTTCAGAAATTCAATCGATACAATAAATCAGCATTTCGTGTTCTTCTAATAACCGATCAATTCATTGCTAAATTAGATGCAAAAAAATTCAAAATAATGAAACAACAATCATTTCAAAATGTAAATTTTTAATTCGATAATGATTAAATTGGTGTAATTAAGAATAAAATTCAAACATTTAGGGTAAAATATTTGAAAAAAACTATATCTTCCTTCTAAATACCATAGATAATAGGAATTTTTTACCATATCCAATTGTCTATTTATAGCTTATTGGTCTTAATATATCGAAAAAAATGGATAATACGGTAATTTTTCATCTTGGCAGTAATGATTTTATTGGTTGTTTATACAATCACAAAAATGAGGATCGTGTTGGAGAAGTAGTTGGAATTTTATGTGCGCATTTTGAAAGGTTTGTTTTGGAATAATGGGAAGTAAATTAGCGCCATATATCTGACAAAATCACATTTCTTCAAGATTGTCTCCATCTTTTCTCATCAACTAAAATAAATGAAAATTATGAAAATGAAAAATGAAAAAGGATCAGTTTTTATGAAGAACTGGTTTTAATGTGACAAATTCTGGAACATCAAAAAAGATTCGATTGAGCAGTAAGATGGATCATACAACAATTGATGATTAGGTTTAAGTCGCAATTATTCAGTTCATGAAATAATTGGGCAAGACCTAAATTTACATGTGCTGAGAAAATTTTGCAACAAAAAATTTTACTGTAAGAAAGATTAATTACACGATTACTTAAGTACTCTTATTTTGTTAAATCTCTAAAAGAAAACAATTTGATAGCTATCATTGTGATTTTTTTTTTTTGTACTAATAATGCTCGAATCTTATACATAACTGATTTAAGATTTGTCATTATCTTATTGATAACACTGGAAATTATCAATAGATAATTAACACCGCTTGAATCATAATTAAATTAGTGGGTGTTTTCTATTTCAATAGTGAAATTTCAGGAAATTTAATAAAAAATTGAAAGTAACAGTTGGAGAACTACAATGTACGCTTGGTTCTAAAGGACGTTCAATTCGTATTCATTTGAGTGATAAGATTACTGATGGACATTCGACATTTCGAAAGCATGGCAGTACTCAAATCGAATTGACCTGTCCTGCAGTATCAGCCTGATAGCTACTCTATCACTATTTCCTCTAAACTTATCATTTTCATTCTTGCATTATTTGCTAACCCTCTCAAGAAACTTTTTTTTTAATATTTACAATATTTAAATTGTTTTATACTTTAAATATATCTATTCTAAAATTAAATTTCATTTCTTACAAATCTTTTCTAATTAGTATTAGCCATAATTGTTTTCATTTATTTCTTAGGTTAGATCGAATCAAATGACAGAATCGAGCATTTTTGTTTTCATAAAATTATCAAATTATTGTTTTCCTTGTTTTATTTTTCATTAATAGGAATAGAAAATTTTTAATTCTCATTTTGCACGAATAAATTTTTCTCATTCAATGCTAACAAATGAAAGGTGTATTGGATAACTTTGTATTACAAGTAATATTAAGTAATGAAGTATTTAAGTCGTCAATAGCTCGCTTATTTCTTCATTTATTTTAGTAAATATCACAAAAAAAAAAAAGAATTCTGCTTGTGATGAACTTTACAAATATGTTAACTCTTGAGAAATTTTGTTTTTTTTTTTATCCTGTAATTTTTAAGCGCTCAATTTATTATTTTATATTTCAGGAAGGATTTAATTCATCAGCTTTTATCATTTTATTCATGATATGTTGATTAAATTAGTATTAATGAATTTGATAACATTTGATATATTTGAATTTGTGACAATTTTGTATTTGTTTAATTGAAATGATGAGAAATGAAATACAGCAATTGGTGCAATTATTAATTGATTGAAATGTGAAATTGAAAATGAAAGATGGTAGTTTACAGGAGGAAATTATGGTAAACATTTGTGCAATATGGGCAATAAAAGATAGGAATGATAATAGGTGAAAGGCCAATGTGACAGAGTTTAATTTTAAAAGAGATAGAAAAAAGTCTCCTTCTCTTCACATCTAATTTTACTTCCTGTTGCTATGATTTATCATCATGTTAAGTTTAAAAAATGAGACAGAATGGAAGATGATGGGGAAGAATGTTCTTGAACTCTAACCTTTTGAGCTATCGGTAAACTGTTCTCAATATATTTTCCTTTGATCCAGAAAAAAAAAAATGTACGTGACTTTTTGTTGCCATTTATACCCGTCGATTTTTTTTCTTTTCCTAATTGTAAATATTCATAAATTGAAAGAAAAAAAAGAATACCAAATAAACTTGAAATTAGAAATGAAAAGTTGAATTTGGCCACTTTAATTAGACTCTAATATATAATTCATTTAATTATACTTCAAGTGAATATTTTAAGTTAAATTAAAGGTTAGGAAACAAAATTTAATGATTTCTGTTCAATTTGACAATGATTAGTACAATTTGTGTTTAGTGCGCTGTTTAAAATTACAGTTGAGTAATGTTCATTCATGTCACATACACCCTTCCCTTCTCTTTCTATCTCTTCTCTTCCTATTGACACAAATAAATGCATTTATACCTAAATGGGTATAAATTTACATTTTTGTTCGAGGATGCAATGATTGTGACAGTGTACCAAAAGGCGCAAAATGTATGTACCAATTCGATCAACACTTCGTGCTGCTATAATCGTGTAAAGAGAAGAGATGATGGAAAAAGAAGGAGTTATATTGCTATAGAACCACTACTACTACCACTACCATCATCATCATCATCATCAACCAACACCGCCACCATCATCTGTTTATTGTCACTGTATCATTATTATTTTGCTCAGAACCGGTTAAGTTCGTGTTTTGTCCCCGTGTATGGCTGATAATTCTTCTCTCTTTCCCTCTCTCTCTCTCTCTCTCTCTCTCTCT